CATATATTCACCAATATTTTTCCATTTGTTGTTTTATTAAAAATAGCCCAAAAGCTGATAATGGTTACAGGTAAAAGACACTACTGATTTCCATTTAGTGCTACAACACAGGCAACAATTGATGCATGCTTTTATTTACATATTAATAAGGTTCTCAATTGAAAGACATTAGAGTTTTGTTTTTACCATCTTTAGTTGTCATCATTGTTGACCTTTTGAGGCTGGTTTGTATGAACATGGCAGCCATCTGGCTTCTTGAGCACCTTTTGTTCTTTTAGCTCTCCAGAGAGATTTTTATACTATCAGTCTAGTTATTTCTTGTACAGTCTACATGTAATAATGACCAGAGATTAGGTCTCCAGTTTGAAGAATCAAGTAGGGGAAATAGAGATGTAAATTGATTTGAAGAGAGACTGTTTTAGAGGCACGTGACAGGGTCAGGAGCGGGGATGATTAGTGAAGACACAAGAGACAGGTCTTAAGCATAATGTGAGCTGAGAATCAATTTTCTTCAAATTACATCATTTTACAGCAGCTGCATGTTATTCCATTGCACATTTCCTCCCACAGCAGTCGTTGATGGCTTGATCATCTTTGCAAATATTAATGTATCTGGAGCTAAGTGTCCTGAACAATTGGGGGTTTTTTTTTCATAATTATTGGACAGGATTTAAAGTTTTGTTTCTACACAATTTCAACTTTTCTTTGAACATCAAAAAAGAGTTTCTGTGTGCATGTAATAATACAAAGGAGGTTCTCCAAGGTTTTGTTGGGAAGGTGATCTGTAATCACCAAGATAAAAACCAAGACATGATAACAAAAACAAAATAGTATCATCCTAAAGTATACAACAGAACATACACCCACATTCCACATTTACTGGATAGGCAAATACAATAACAAAAAAACAAAAACATTTTTACAACGACTGACCTTTTAAGGAATAAAAGCCCTCCTCTTCTATTCAGCTATAACTATTGCAGGGTCATTGGAAATAATCCTCTTAGTATATACAGTGAAAAACAAGTGTGTATGTGGGGTTTTTTAGGTGCAAAAAAATTATTTATTAATACAATATTGTTTAAACAAAATCATGTAAATTTGTAAATGTAAAACTTCCTTCCTTTATACATTACATTGGTACCTCCAAAATACCACTCCCAAAGTATACATAAAGCATGTTCACAGACAATAGCCGTACATGTGTTCATTTCAGAAATTTGGCATGTAATTCTCCTTTTCCTTATAATATTTGGAGTAGTTAGCATTCAGTATTCAATGCGTTTAATCAGGAATTTACTGATTGCTGGAGGGAATCAGGTCTGGAAGCAATTCATGTGCAAACGGCCAAAGCGATGCACAACAAGCAAGGCTCAAGAGAATCCCCCCACACAGAATGAGACCACGTCCCAAGGTGAGAGGAATATGAGTGACAGGGTTCCCTAATCCAGGGGTAGCCAAACTCCGGCCCTCCAGCTGTGGTGAAGCTACAAATCCCATGATGCATCTCTCTCAGGGAGTCATGTCTGTGGCTGTGAGAATCTTGCAATGCCTCATGGGATTTGTAGTTCCACCACAGCTGGAGGACCGGAGTTTGGCTACCCCGCCCTAATCAGATATTCTCCGTAATGTGGAGGTTATTTGGTTCTAATGAGGAGGCATAAGGGCAACCTCAACATCACTCACGGCCGCCCGTGCTTGCGAGGCCACATCGCAGCCATAAGACGTCTCTTGAGCCTGGTGTGTGTCAAATTTCTGAAAAGAACACATGTACGGCTATTGTCTGTGAGTATGCTTTATGTATACTTTGGGAGTGTTATTTTGGAGGTACCAATGTAATGTATAAAGGAAGGAAGCTTTACATTTAAAATTTTACATTACTTTATTAACAATATTTTAATCATAAAAAAATTGTTGATACATCATTAAGTATGTTATTGGTTTTGTCATTTAGGCACCTAAAAAAACCCTCATACCTACTTGTTTTTCAATTTTGACTTCAGGGGTGTGGTGCCGATCACCTAAAGGTCTTTCACACAACTTTTTTTTAGTATATACAAGATAAAAGATTCCGTAAGTTTTTGTTTTGTAATAGTAGGTAAATAGTCCATAAATGATTCTCATACATCAAAAAACTTTTGGTGATCTGTAATTTGAAATTTGAACCTGTCTACTGTAATTGGTTATTTCTGCACAACCAATAAATAGAGTGAACGAGTTAAATAGGTGAACTGGCCTTTTATAATAGGTTTAATGTCAGTGCTGCCCCCCTGAAGACTGATAACTGGTGGGGGAATATTCAAGATGCAACAGGAGAGGCAAAGATTCACAGTATTATATAAGGCAGAAGCAGGGATAGCTTTGCATTGCAGGTCATCAGATACGACTTCCTCTCCGGCAAGGAGAACAGTAAGCAACACAATAGTAACATCATAGACCCTCACAGACAGACAGAGCCACAGACCCTTATATTTCTCACAACAGATATACAGCTATGAGGCTGTAGAAATGAGTGTCTAGGCACTGTTAGTACAATGCTATTTTCCAGGCACATTTTTCAGAGTACTGCTTAGGCACAATAATAATAACATTAACAACAAATTAATTTCTAGGTGTTCCCTAAAAGTTAGCAACTTTTTCACCCTGAGTTCAGGTCCACTAGGAAATCCTTACTACTACTAATATCCCAAGCAGTTTGCTCATTTTGTTGTCCCACATCTTTACAACAATTTTGTTTAGATCAGCTATTGTTGTATTGGCTCTTAACCAATTGAGGATTTTGAATGTAAGAGCTATGTCCCAAGAAACTTCATCAAAGTTTGAGGCTGTATTTCATATGTCCAACTTCTCTACCCCTGCCGCTGCTCCTCCAGCTGCTATGACCAGCATTTGACAGCCAGGAATTGCTTTGCGTTATGCAGCCAGAGGGGTTATCATAGTGAAGTGAATCCTCTATACTAAATGATAGTTGCAGATAGTCTGGAAGTGTCATTGAGTAAATACAATGTAACAATGTATTGACCTCTGATTTGCATATGATTCCAGTTAAAGAAGTCATTTTTTTCTAATAGAATGTATTCCTATTTAACTTCTTATTAAACCTTAGTTAACCCATCCTAATTTACTCCTTCCATCCCTTCTCCCATTATTTTTCTTCTGATTTTCTTTCTTTAACTTTAATAGTTAATGATTTATTTGTGTTTATTAATTTTGATTATTAGTTGTTTTTTTTCGGTGACCCATAAAAAGAAAATTGCAAATAACTTTGCTAAGCTTTGTACTAGGGCTGCTCCGATACCGTTTTTTTCGGTATCGAGTACCTATATTCATCTTTTGGTACGCGCCAATACCGGTACTTCCGCTAGCATGAATCCAGCTTCCCAGCCAATTAGGAAGTCGAGGTGTGGGTAATGACACGCCCGTCCAGCTTCTTAGTTGCCCAGGAAGTTGGCTCCATGCTGATTGGCTGGGGAGCGGTTTTCGTAGCCAATCAGAATCAAGACGGCCAGACTGCATGGAGCCGGCTTTCCAGCGAGTCATTACCACCTGCTCTGCTTTCGGATTGGCCGGGAAGCCAGCTCCATGTTCCCTCACGGCACTGCCGGTCAGAGCAAACATCTCTCTGACCAGAAGTTCCGGGATAAGTATTGGAGCATTTGGGCTTGTACGAGTACTTGCCCAAATACTCAGTATCAGCACTGATACTACTATCGGTATCTGTGCATCCCTACTTTGTACCCTTAGCATCTTTTCAGTGTCATTTTAAACAGGACAAACTTAATGTAATCATTTTATTCACAGTTAAAATATTGTTTAACTAATACTGGTCAAACTAGAAAAAAAAGTTTTATTTGTATTTATTTTTTTGTCTATAGATTACATAGGGCATACAATCATTTTTTGTGAGTCATTAATGCCAAGAGAATGTCTAGTTTGTCCCCAAAAATGTATGAATTGCATTTTTATTGTTGGCAGATAAACAGGCCCATTGTAGAAATGTAAAAATTGCTCTGGTCCATAAAGGGTATAAAGTTGAGCGAGCCGAAGTGGGTAAATTAGAAATACAGCCTGCCGTAGTGTGTTAAGCGAAGCCTGACTTTTCTAAAAGGCTTTTGTTCTCCATCTGATACATAAAAGTCATACATTCTGTGATCTCAAGCTGTCAAAACAAGCATGTCGAGAAGCTAAGATGTTTAAGCTTTTCACACGTCAATTCTCCTCTCTAAATATTTAGCGTCTCTAGTGCTCATAATATTTGATTAATATTCTTCTTTCATGGAAGTTGTTTTATGTCACACTGTGGAAAGTTGACTTGTCATCAGAAGCTCTTAAAATATTAATTGCGAGAATGAAGAAGACAAGGTAGTTTTATTGCACCTGCTGCAAACATTGTGTTACGGAGAACTAATGCTGGTATGCATGTGTTTTATTTTCTTGTAGCTGAGTGTGGAGGCTCGGACGGAGATGACTAAGAAAATGATAGCTACTGTGAAACAATTTATGGACAAACAAAAAAAGAAGAATGCTGGAGAAGCCACAGAATGGTCCTCTGTCACTTACAGCGTGGCATCAAGTCATCTCCAGCAATCTCTTGCCCATCTAGAAACACTCAGTCACACCTTTATTGACCATCTACGAAGTTTGGACCAGGTAAGAAGGACTTTTCTTTGTAGGAAGAAGTGTGTTTTACCGACTATGCTATGTATATAGGTTTCTCAGGCAGCTTGAGCAAACAATACCTTTGTATTGCCAAATCTTCCAGATCTGAAAAAATTCAACACTTGAGCTAAACTTGCCTGTCCTGCTTTGTAGAAGCAACAGCAACCGAGAGGCAAACTCTCCAAATCAATGGAAATCCCCTTTTTGACAGTTGTCATAGGAACAGATGTCCCCATTGGAAGATTTTCTCTTTATTCCTGTTCTGATGGCATCTCAAAATTTGGGATTTCCCATCCATTTATGTCCTGGTGACAGTGGTCATCATCAAGGGCCAGCCCTTTAATGAGGCAGCCAGGGGCTGTTACCTTAGGCCGTATATATCTTTGGGTCACTGTTTGCAATGTGCTCTCTTCCAGGTCAGAGCATCTCAGTTTGCTAAGAGCTGGGCAGGGAGATGTGTAAGTAAACTAGGGCACTCTGGTCGGCTGGTGACGTCACGGGTTGCCAGGAGCTGGGTGGGACAACGATTAGAGCATCTCAGGTTACTAAGAGGCGGGGGAGATACAAAGCCTGCAGAGGATGGCGTCACCCACCTCCTGCTGCTTATGCTCCACCACCTCAAGTGCCAAAAAGGCTAGGGACACCGCTGGTCATCAGGACAATAGAAAGTTAAAAATAAACCTTTGGGTTTAGATCTTTTAAATGAAAAAAGGAATCAAGTTGGTTGGCAGATCGTTGTTCATTATCATTTGTAAGTGTCGGGCCCCTGAAGCGCCTCTGATTGACTTCTTGCCTTCTTACAGACTATGCTCCTATGTGTTTATAGGCAGAAGATTGCCCTGGAGTCAGTCACCCTGAAGTCATAAAAATATTAGACATGCAGATGGGGATCACCAATGGATCCTTGCAACTTTGCACTAAAATATCTTCACTATCGGACTGCAAAATAAATATACTTTTGAACACCTGTTCTCTTCATCACCCTCCGTATAGTAAGAAAGTAATGGTTTTAGATCTTCCTTTTTCACTCCGAAAGAACCCATACACTGGCCTTGGCTCTAAGGAATAACACATATGACCATTATTCTCTACGTGTCTCTATTAGTCTTGAGCTGATATATAGGCAGACCATAAAAGTCTATGTAGCAATCACAGCACAGGTGCAGTACTGCTGCCAGATGGATCGATAAGAGCCAATGTAAACAAAACAAAACCACTGCACTCGTCTCATACTCTCTCTAGCTAGCGCTTGTCTAGTCTGACATCTGCATTCTTATTTATTTCTTATTTTATGAATCATTTTATTTCTTATTAATGTATTATTTATTGTTATTGTCAGAAAGGGTTCTATTTTTTTTAAAATATATAATTTAAGTTCCATTTTAATACCAGTCAGATGGTAGCAGTATTTTAAAGCGAGCCTGTAGCAATTTACATATTCTTAAGAACGAGAGAGAGTCAGCGTTAGAGGTATAGGCGACATTTATACACAGGCCGTTCCTTAAAGTGAACATGTAGCCATCCTATTGAGATTGAAGCCCCCAATTGGAGTCTGCGGCTCAGGTATTCTGTTTTTGTGCTTGAGTATGGGGTGTGGCACCAAAGCCTTCCTCTGCTGAACACTCTGTATCTATTAAGATTGAAGTATTTACATGTTCTAAACAAACAATAAGTGTGATTTAAAACATTCCAGCACTGACCTCTACAGCTGCAATCAATGTGGAGCAATTCATTCTTAAGCTTCACTGCAGAAGCAACAACGCAGCTGCTTCCCCCTTGCAGCAGTGATTCAACAGCCTTTTGGAAATTGAACACAAAGCAGGATCTCTGGAGGGGGTGCTGGGTGAGCTAAGCTGAGTTGCTAAGAGCAGAACTTGAGGGACTTCAGTGCTTCTGCTGTGAACTTTGAGGATGAATTGCTCCACAGTGCCTTTGATAAATATCAACCATTGCATGTTAGTATTTTTTATTGACAGCGAGCAGGTGGAGCTTGCAATTCCCCTGACTTTTTATTGTTATTATTATTTGCTTTTTACTTTTGGTAATTATAAAATATTGCAAAGGAATATTTCACATTTACACCCAGCAAGTGGTGCCCAGACTACTTTTTTTACATGGTTTTCTGTCTATTTTTAAAGGAGAACTGTGGGGTAACCTATTTTGCACATAGTTCTCCTCAGGGTCACGGGAGGACATATACTATGTCTATATACTATACCCAAAACTCAGTCTATAGCGGGCTATATAGGGCTGCAACAACTAATCGAGATAATCGATTATTGAAAAAGTTGTCAACTTTTTTAATCATCGATTAATCGGCTTCTGATTAGTTGGCCCTGTTCACGGCTCCACACACGCTGCGTGCCACACCTCCTCCCCACCTCATGCTCGCCGCTGCCAGACCGCATCCACACGCTGCACCTCCTCCCCGCCTCACGCTCACCGCCCACCCACATACACGATTGGCACAGGGACGCGGAGAGAAGAAGTAAGTCGGAGCAGGTGTGGGGTGATGACAGCCGCCGATAGACAGTCCCGACCTCAGAAGCAAGTTGCTGGAAGACTGCTCAGGTAAGCCTGCACTTTCCCAAACATGGTGCTCTATAATGTATTGCTGGGATTTGTATTCCTCTATAGCTGATGGTACATTGTGCTGTATATTATACAGAGGAATACAAATCCCAGCAATACATTATACACTTTATTGTATAATGTATTGCTGGGATTTGTTGTATTCCTCTGTAGCTGGTGGTATTCTGCATTGCGCTGTATAGAGGACTACAAATCCCAGCAATAATACATTATACACCGCAATGCGGAATACCACCAGCTATAGAGGAGTACAACAAATCCCAGCAATAATACATTATACAGCACAATGCAGAATACCACCAGCTATAGAGGAGTACAACAAATCCCAGCAATAATACATTATACAGTGGTGCAATGCCGAATACCACTAGCTATAGAGGACTACAAAACCCAGCAATAGTGCATTATACAGCGCAATGCAGAATACCGCCAGATATAATTTACTATTGCTGGGATTTGTTGTATTCCTCTATAGCTGGTGGTATTCCACCGTATAATGTACTATTGCTGGGTTTTGTAGTCCTCTATAGCCGGTGCCATTCTGCATTCACTTTTCATTTCACTATATTGCACACCACACTTATTTTTCTTTTTTACTTCCACTGCTCCAAGCTTACTCCTGTGATGGACTACAATCCCAATAAAACTAGTAGTCCCATCACTGGAGCCATTTTTCAAAATTTATTTTATTTTTTATCCGATTAACCGATTAATTGAACTTAATAATCGGCTAACTAATCGATTTGGACAATAATCGTTAGCTGCAGCTCTAGGGCTATATGCTGAGAGCACCACAGCTGGGACGGATCCTGACAATACTGTCGAGATCCGCCCCGCTGGCTGCCCCTCCCTCGTCTGTTTCTCCAGTCAGCGCTACGAAATCTGCTGTCTGCAGGGAGGTGACTACTTTACAACACACACAGGGACCATGGGGAACAAAAGTAGCCCCCCTCCAGAAGGAAGGACAGTGTCAGCACCAATTCAGAGATGATTTGAGGATCTACAGCCGAGTGACACACAAATAAGATACATTTGTGTTACTAGTTAAGGTACTTGAATGTATTTTTAAGATATAACTCCTGAGTATGGTGTCACTTTAATAACCAGCTGGGAGCACTTGTTTGTACAAATAATTAGCTAGTGGGTACAACCTGTTTTTTGTAAGTTTACTTGTGTTTTCTACGGCCGCACGGCGCCCTTGTTGCCATGGCGCCCTGTGCGGCCGCACTGTTTGCACACCCCTAAGGCCGGCCCTGTATATATATATATATATCATATATATTTGTCTACACAGGTAAAATATAATCTATTTTGACACATCATTTGTTATTAATTCAGGGTTCAATTGTAGCTTAAATGTCTCTTATCCCTTTCCCTGGCTTCCTGTGGAGATGAAGTGCAAGTCCTGAGCCTCTGACCTACTTAGAGATTCTCAGGCGTGCCCAGGACAATAAATTACATTCTGCCTGCGGTATAGCTGTTGCCCACAATCTTCCCCTTACACCGGGATAAAGATGTTTTTGTTGGTATTAAAATGATTTTATTTGTCCAGCAGAGACTTTGCCGTAGGATTAATTCCTCTCTTGCCATGAGAAAGAAACTTACATAAATACAAGTGTTTATATCTGTTCACGAAGACGTGCAGAGTATTTATTCATACGGAATGTGCATTTAGAAAATATAATCATATCAGTAGGTGAATAGTTGGAAGGTAAAACGTATTTTAAAGTGCACCTGTCCTTTTGAAGAATGCAGTCCTACATTTATATGTCCAGCCCACCTCCTACATGCAGTTCTAGAATATCAGGTTGTGACACAGTTAGATTCCCTTGGACTGAGTATAATTTATATTTTGCATATGCTGGGAAGGCACATTAGTTATATTTGCTGCTAGCCCAGAGTCCAGCTTTAAAGGAATGTCTCATAGGGTGTTTTTTTCTTCATATTTTTTTCATTACAGTCACAGAGTAACAAAAAAACAACAGTATCAAAACCCATAGTGCTCTGGGAATCTTTTGCTATGGGTGCAACCTCCATTGAATGTTTGTAAATTCAAAATGTTATTATACATATATATATATATATA